ATAATAAATAAATATATCTTGCTACATATAAAATTAATTTAAGATGGATAAAGAGTCAATGTAAGGCATGAACTAATTCTAGAAGAAAATATAGGAAGAACTTCTAGACATCAACCTAGGCAAGACATTTATGACTAAGACCCCAAAAGCAAATACAGCAATAATAAAAATAAATAAATGGGATTTAATTAAATTAAAAAGGTTCTGTATAGCAAAGAAAGTCAGAGTCAATAGACAACCTACAGAATGAAGAAATATTTGCAACTATCTGACAAAGGTATAATATCCAGAATCTACAAAGAAGTCAAACAAATCAGCAATATGAAAGCAAACAAGCCTATGGAAAAGTGGGCAAAAGACTGAAGAGAAGTTTTTCAAAGAAGATAGACATGGTCAAGAACATATGAAATCTCAACATCACTAATCATCAGGGAAATACAAATTAAAACCACAAAAATGTACCACCTTCCCCCTGTCTGAATGACTATTGTTAAAAAGTAAAACTCATGCCTGTAATCCTAGCACTTTGGGAGGCTGAGGCAAGAGGATTGCTTTAGGGCAGGAGTTTGAGATCAGCTTAAGCAACAGCAAGATCCCATCTCTACAAAAAATACAAAAATTAGCCAGGTGTGGTGGCCTGTACCTGTAGTTCCGCTATTTGGGAGGCTGAGAGAGGAGGATTGCTCAACTCAGGAGTTTGAGGTTGCAGTGAGCTATGATGATGCCACTGCCTGAGTCAAAAAAAAAGAGTCAAAATGCAATAGACACTGGTGTGGATGTAGAGAGATAGGAATGCTTATACACTGTTGGTGGGCCTGCAAATGGGTACAACCTCCATGGAAAATGGTACGGCGATTCCTCAAAAAAATAAATATAGACTTACCATTCAGCACAGCAATCCCACTGCTGGGTATCTACCCAAAGGAAAAGAAGTCATTTTATCAAAAAGACACCTGCACTTGAATGTTTAGCACAGCACAATTGACAATAGCAAACATGCAGAATCAACCTAAATGCCCATCAATTCATTAGTGGATAAAGAAAATGTGGTATGTATCATATACCATGGAGTACTACTCAGCCATGAAAATGAATGAAATAATGTCTTTTGCAGCAACTTGGATGGAACTAGAGACCGTTATTCTAAGTGAAGTATCTCAGGAATGGAAAACCAAATACCACATGTACTCTAATAATTTGGAGCTTAATGATGGGCACACACAGGCACAAAGAAATGTAAAGGACATTGAAAACCAAGAAGGTCAGAGGATAGGAGGGGGTGAGGCGTAAAAACTTACATATGGAGCACAATGAACACTATTCTGGTGATGGGCACACTAAAAGCCTTGACCTAAGCTTTATACAAGGCATCCATGTAACAAGAACATTTGTACCCCCTTAATATATTGAAATTAAAAAAAAAAAAACAATATTGGGCCTCATATTTGGTTTTGCACTTCTGGTGACCAGGGCAATGATGACATAATAATTGATTAAAAAATCTTCCTTATTCATGAGGAAAATAAAACCTGATTCAATTCAATTCCATTTTCCTGCTCTTTCATAAGGAGTAGTTCATAATTGACTGTCTTAAGGTGACATAAGAGAAATAGACATTTAACTGTATTATTTAACAACTTAGGGACAGCCATCCAAAGAACCTACATTTCCTGTCACATTCCAGATTTCTGTTGGTGCATGCTCAAATTTTCCTCACCACCTATCTTAATTCTCTAAGCTGGCCTCTTCCTATATTGAAATCATATATCTCCCTGTGTATGGTGATATCATTCTCCCATTTGATGAACAAATGAAAAATCTGACTTGTTTTTAAAGTCTAGTTCAAATTCTAAATCTTCGTACAAGAAAAAGGAAACCTTTCTTAGAGAGAGATACTTTCTTCTTTTCATCCTTTCTTCTACTTAGACTGCAGATATAATGGTTGGAGCTCCAGCTGCCATTTTGTCCTTGAGGTGACCTTGCGAATGGAAGTCACACTGTAGAGCAACAAGAGAAAAGGAACCTGAGTCTCTGGTCTGTGGGGCTGTAGCTACTTACCTCAGGCTGCTTATCTCAGATGGCTTTTAGTTTCTTATTGCTGCTCTGACAAATTACCACAAATGCAGAGTCTTACAACAATACAGTTTTGTGTTTTTTTTAATCTTATAGTTCTAAAGACAGAAATCTGACCGACATCTCACTGGGCTAAGGGTGTTAGCAGGTTGCATTCCTTTCTGGAGGCTATAGAGGAAAATACATTTCCTTGTTTTCTCCAGCTTCTAAAAACTGCCCACATTCCTTGGATCACAGCCCTCTTCTTCTATCTTCAAAGCCAGAAACAGAGACAATCTTTCTCATAGTGCCGTCACGCTGGTTCTCTCTTCTGATTCTCTTTTTCACTCTTAAGGACCCTTTGGTTTACGTTGGTCCCATCCGGAGGAACCAGGATAATCACCCTATGTTAAAACCAGTTTATGAACAAACCGAATTCCACCTTCTTCCTTAATTCCCCTTTGCCGTGTAGTCAACATATTCACAGGTTCTAGGGATTAAAACGAGGACACTTTGGTGAGGCTACCGTGGTGAGAAATAAACCTGTATCTTGTTGGAGCCATTATTTTTCAGGTCTTTGTTGCTCACAATTAAACCCAATCCCAGCTGCTATAATAATGCATTCCTTTAACAGATTTTTGCTGAATACCTATGGTGGTGGTGCTGCTTGTGGTCTGATAACTGTGGATTATTCTGACACGCACAACCCTCCAGAGGCTGTGAGACCCACCTTGCACGACACCTGCCCACCTGTCCACATGTCTACAGTGCACTGACGTTACTCACTGCCACAGGAGCAACGTCACTCACTGTCACAGGAGTGAAGACTGTCCACCTGTGCACTGAAAACAACTCCCGCTCCCCGACACCTGTAGACTTGCCTCAGCACAGAGAAGGAAACTGAGGCCCAGACTCGAGAAGGTACTTACGCAAGGTGCCGTAGCAAGTTCATGGCATTGCCAGGACTAGAATGCAGGTCTCTGAATACCACTCCTGCATCATATTTTTCTTCCTTGGGCCATTCTGGGCCTTTCAAAGAAGGATGTATTAGACACTTTTACAGCAACAGGGTCCCAGGCACCCTAGTCATAAACCTTGGTACAGGCCGAAAACCACGTTCACCTCTATTACAATGATCCTAATGATACTAAATGTTTAAAACACCAGCTGGATTTTCTTTCTATCTCTAGAACATGCATATTAAAGTTCTCTGGTGTGTATCCTACTGGCTTCCCTGCCTCTCACACTCTCATGCTCTATTTCTCCTATTTGTTAAATGAGGACTTTTTAGGACTCAAAAATACTTACCAAGATAACATGCACATAAGGAGACCCAGTCAAAGAGACAGGCCTGGGAGATTATGCATTCTAGCGCCATGACTGACTTTGCTGTTATTTCTCTGAGTGTTAGCATTTCCATCTTTAAAATGGGGCAATAGCAAATGTACCTCTAAATAATTGCAAGGCACAGCTAATAAAACCCATTCTAAAGCACATTGCCACCCTGCAAAGTGTCATCTAACTGCTAATAATAAAGCATTAAGCAATAGGAATTGTGCTTGTCCCATTTGGCTGTGAGGCACACTCCCTAGTAAAGCAGAGTGAAAGTGAGGAGAACTAGAACAAGCCCAGGACATAAAGCCAGAGGAAGACACCTGATTGGGCAGCCAGCCGAGCACAGAAGGGTGCTGAGAGCTAACGGGCTGGGAAGACCTTGGCAGGGCTGTCTGCAGAAACCTCTCACTCTGTCTGTTCTTAAATATCTGATTTTTCAAGTTCTTTTTGGAAACTGTTTATAAGTTACACATCTCAGATAGTTGGAAAGACCTCCCTTATGCAATTTAGGTCAGTTTGCTTTGTTTCTGTCTTCAGTAGGAATGGAAAAAGGCTATTCACACCACCCCCCATATCCCTACACCTCCTCATCCCCACCCGTACAGCAATATCCTTTCTTATGCCTGATGGCTGCTGCTGAGATAGCTTTTCCATAGCTTCTCCCAATGCTTATTGCCCCAATTATTTATAAATGTAGTGGCTATTGTTGTTGTTTTTATTCAAGACTTTTATAGTGAGTTAAAATGCTACCGTCAATATTAGAGCTTGATGGGATCTTTGAGATCACTTCTTCCAAACATCTACATTTTGCACATGAGAAGGCTAAGGCTTCACTATATGTGGTACTGCCAAGGTTGCACATTATTGTGTTGAGACAATGGTAAAAAAAAAGGCCTAAGGAATTTTGATAATAATGTATTACTAAATAATATTGAACTTATGCTAATTTCTAATTTTTGCATTCTCCACATAATACCTCCTGGTATTTGTATGGTACGCTGATATTTATTTTGAGCATAAGCAGTCATCCTGCTTCTTGTATAATAGTTGTTTACTGTTCTTCTGTCAGAGATATCATTTTTCCTCAATTAAGCATAATCCTGCACGTTCATACCAACTTCTTTAATTTAAGGGGTCATATTGAATTCTAATTCTACCTTATTTCCTCTAACAATTATGGAGCAGCTCCTATGAGCCAGACACTGTCACATAAGTACTTCATTTTATCCTCAAAACACCCCTGTATTGAGGATATTATTATCCTCATTTTAGAGATGAAATAAAATGAGGCACAGGGCAGTTCAGTAGCAGGCCCAAGAGAGTCCATCGGCAGCAGTCTAAGTTGTCTGATTTGTGCTCATGACAGCATATGACTTCTCTAAAAGTATCAGCTACCCCATCTAATTTTCTTACAGCAGTAAGTCAGGGAATCATGCTCCTTTTCCAATACCCCCAGCATAGATATAAATATTAAGTAGGATAATTAGCCAAAGCTGATGCATAGAGATTGTCATATACTCATCAACTTGAAAGTGAATGATAACGTCATTGCTCCCCAAAATGTAGGTCAATGAAAAGAAAGCACGACCTTTCCTTTCTATATGTGTCCACAGAGGTACAAGCAAGGCAGGAAATGAAGAGGGCAGACAGAAGAGTCTGAACGGAGAAGGAGCGCTAAGGGGGGTCAGCAAAGATGTCATAGAGAAGAGACATGCACCCAGGCTTCCATGAATGGTAGGGTTCAAAAGGGAAGATGCTTGGAGAAAGGTGGGTGATCCAGAGGTTAAGAACAGGGGCCCAGACGGAGGGAGGATTTGGGGAAAGGGGTGAAATGAGAAATACCTGAAGGAATTGGGAATAATTAGCTGGAAACAGATAATTCTGCATTTTCATGTGTCTGATAAAATTAAAGGTAGATGAGAACTGTTTTGTGAAAGTAAGATTCCAAAAGGCCAGATAATTGGGCTTAAAGTCACAGAGTGCATCAGTGGGCAGAGAGCCAGGACCACGGCAGAGAATGAGGCACAGCTTTTCTAACAATTAGACCTGTTCACCGGTGGCATAGGCTTTTCTTTGGAGACTTGAGAAACTCATCAGGAAAAATATTCAGGAGGATGCCTAGAGCCCTCAACCCCACAAACTGGGTTACAGAAGATGTTTCTGCACTTTGTGAGTTCTGGCTGAGATTAATTCCAAGGACTCTTCCATTTCTGAGTTTCTAAGATTCCAAAAGTTTACCCCAAGAGAGACTGGATCTCCTTGGACAGCTGGCCGGTCCTGTGCCAACAACGCTCAGCCTCCGCATGGAAGGGACAATTTTCAAAGCATCCTCCAACCATGAGATTTCAGGGATTTGTATTAAACTACACTGAGGGAGGGCTTTTGTGTAGCTTATATTTTTTTATCCCCCCACCAAAATTCTTTAGGAAAAGTCTTATCCTCCTTCCAATCTTTTATTAGTGTTCACTTTCCTACATTTTTCTGATTGTTGCTCTATAGGTAAATTTTATGCTATACATATTTGATTTGTTGTATTTTGATTGGATATACTCTAGAGAAATGTGTACTAAGTGTGTTAAGTTTTTAAACAACCACATATAATCATTGAACTTTTGTAGCCTTTTTAATAGCTTTTATGACAGATGCGTGACCTTGTTTAATCCTTGTGCAAGGCAATGATGTAGACATTGCCATCACTAACCTTAGAATGAGGAGACCAGGCTCACTGTAGGGTACAGTGAGTCTGAGGCCCCACTGTCAGCCTCCCATGGTGACTCGGGGCACTGTAGCATCATCACAATTGTTAGACGAAGAAGCTAAGACATGGAAAGGTCAATGGATTGGGCTCAAGGTTACAGAGTCTGTTTGTAACAGGGCCGGATTAGCTTTGAATACGTAGCCACAGAATCTTTACTTTTTGAAAGCCACCTTTAAGGCACCCCAAATCATGCATCTAGAAAGACCTGGAAGACATCATAGAATGACTTATCCAAGCTCCTCGCCACAATCACTGAGTTACCAAAAGCTGTCACTCTGAGCACTATGATAGATTTTTTACCGTTAATAATAAGCCAAAGAATGAAAGCCAAGATCTATTTCTCAAGAACTTCTGAGCTCCTTACCTGCGCATTACACCTTTCTGGATTATTAAATATTGGCCTCATCTTCCTAAGCATCTCATTTATGGTTTTTTCTCTCTCAAGTGAATATTGGGTAAACTGTAATAAGAATAATAAGGAAAGTCAGTTACATTAAAGTAACCAAAAACAAAAAGAAAACAAACAAATTTTCCCTTCTAATCCCTTCTTGAAGATCTCCCAGGCTTCTATGTTTCAACAATGTGGCCTACTTCTATGCCCTAAAAATACCCTGACTTTCCCACTTACAATCATTTATTCACATCATTATCTCGGTGTGGAATGCCCCCTCTCCCCATCCTTCATATATCAAGATTTATTCATCTTCTAAGGGTCAGTTCACATGTCACTCTCTATGAAGCCTTTCCTAATTTCCCCAGTCAGGACGAATCCTTACTTTCTCTAGTTCTTGTTTCATTAAGTCTTATAAAGTGGGTTTTTTTTTCATTACTTATCTTTCTCTTACACTAGACTGTGACTTCTTAAGGGCCCAAATCAAGTGGGATTCACGTGGGCTGGGTGCACAGGCTCACAGTATGCACTTGGCATATGTTTATTGAATGAATAAAATTAACATCAAATGCCATTTTCCCCTTTTTCCTTTTCTTATCAGACATTCAAAGATATTCAAAGTCTCAAGTGTCTTCCTGCTTACAATCTGTACCTCCTTTTCTACAAATATTCCATAAAGGGTAAGCAAGCTGCTACTGTTATGAAACATTTGCCAGGGATTGCTAGAAATGGTGCACAGTTCACCAGTTCTATTAAATCACAAGGGTTTCCTTTCTTTTTTTTCTTTTCTTAAATTACAATTCAGCATAATCTTTTCTCTCCTGTTAAGCACTAAGGAGAATGCTCACAAATCAGAAATCACTGAATATCAGAGATAGAAGAGAGAATCTAGTAATCTAGCCCCTCTTCCTTTTATTAAGCAATAGGGAAATTGAACCTTAGAAAGAGTTACTTTCTCATAGTCAAATAGCAAGTTCCTAGTGTGCTGAGACAAGGTTGAGATCTCTGATCTTTTCTGGCTGGTGCTTGTTCCAATCCTGGTAATTTGTTATAGGGTTTAATTTCTAAAACAATGCTTGGCCCCACCCCCTACTTCCTTCCAGCTGTGAATCCCTTTCCTTCATTTAAGCTTTGGGCATCCTAGCTTTCTGATGCACACTCAGTTACCTGATGTTCCCCAGCCCTCAGGGAGCAGGTCTCCTGGGTCTCAGCCTCCTGCTGCCCCAATCAGACACCCTGTCTTCCCATTGTCCCACCACCCACACTCCCCGCCAGCCTCCAGACCTGCGTTTTGGCTCTTCTGTTAACAGAGAAGTACTTTCACCATGCTTTAGATGCAGTAAATCATTTATTCATTGTAACAAACTTATGAGTTTTATGTCAGTATTGTCCCTCTTTGAGGGTCAGAGAGGCTGTCATTTGCTCAAAACAAAATGGCTTGTAAATAGCAGACCTGGTAGAATATGTCACAAGGAATGTAAATAGGAGAGTACACCAGGTCTTCTGTCCCAAGGAGGCCCCTGAATTTTACATTCATTCCATTCTCTTAGGAGGTGACATCTGTAGATTCCAAATTCTTTTTTTTTTTCTTGAATACATTTGGGGAAATTAGTTTTTACCCTAGAGAGTTACTTCCCAGGGCAATTAAATATTGGAGAGTTCGGTCTTCTGGTTTGGAAATTTTTTTTCCTGTTAAAAATGGCAAACAGAATCATGATTTTTTTAAAAAAAATAATCTGTAAGTGGAATATTCACATTTCCTCACTAGAAAAGTTCACCTTTGGGGTAGAGTACTTGATGGAAAATTCCAGTGGAAAAGGGAAAATTTCTCAAAGAACAGTGAGCAATTGCAAAGAAGAATTTTGTAACAGACATGACAGGCATTTGGTAACCTATGGTATTCGTTACTGCAAATGCTAGGCCTTGCAGAAATAATAACTTCATAACAAATGAGTATGTTAGTCATACTTAACAGGGATTTTGCACTGGCTTTGGGTATAGATTTCCACAAACAAACAGTGTTTAATGACCCAGTTGCATTCTGCAATGGGCAAAGAAGCTGAAAGGTAGAATACAGCATTGTTGAATTAGAGCATATATCCTAGCTATTAGAGTTTGAACATTCATCCCCCCATTGATGAACATTTGCATTCCTGAGTTGGAAAATTCAGGAAGAAAAGAAGAAAGGCAAGAAGAAAGGAAGGGAGGAGAGAAGAGAGGGAAGAAGGGAAGGAGGAAGAAAAAAAGGAGGAAGAAAGGGAGGGAGAAGAAAATTGTTAAACACTATTTCTCTTCTCACCTCATTAAAAAATTCTCCACTACTATAAGGATCAATTATATTTTCTTCTAGATTCTATTTCCATCCTTGCAGTTATTATTTCTGCAAGGCCTAGCATTTGCAGTAATACTAACCCTGGTCTCAGATACACAAATAAACACATGAAAATAACTCAGAGAGGGATTAACAAGTAGAATTGCCCAAAAGAGTGTTTACTGTGTTCATTTAGTTATGTGAGTTGCAGCTTATACGACGCCTGCATGGTGCTGTGTGCCTGGAGACGTCCTCATTCCGCGTGTGGCAGCACTGCACACCCTCCTGAGGCCAAGCAGAGAAGGTGGCACCGGGCTGGCCCTCTGTGAGCTCAGCTCCAGCCTCCCAGCACTTTTCCTAGTGGACAAGATAGAAAGAATAGATTCTCAGTGGAAAACAGGAGGTGAAATGCGTAACCAGTGGAAACACCACGCTGGCAGACTGCTGTACTGCAGTCTCAGCCGTGCCGTCTCTCATTTTGTGACCTTAGGTGATCACTCCTCTTCTCAGGAAAGTGAAGGGGCTTGGTCAGATGGGGCAAGGCCTGAGATTCTCCTCAATTCCAATATTTAATGGTATTTGTGATTAAAGTTGCATATTCACTGTCTGTTTCCCTATCTATGATGTGGCCAGGTTGGACCAAATGACCTCTAAGTGTCCTTTAAGCTCTACAAACCTGTGGTTCTAGGACCAAATCAAGGCTCACCAAACTCTGTGAGAGAAGAGAGGCTGTGGTTCCCAGAAGCATTAAGGATATCAAGTTGCTCCCAATGTCTTAGCCCAGGCTGAGGCATGAGATTCTCCAGTCCAGGGCAGAGGGCAAAGGAGTGAGGCTCTTGGCCACGTGGGTACATAATGGGAGCTTCCCATGCCTGAGGCCACCATTGTCCCCTACAACACTTGCCTCCAGATCTGCTGCTCCAGCAGCCCTGATCATCAGAACATTGCAAGGGCTTCACAGGAACTCAGGGTCCCTTCCAGGACCTCTGAGGTCAAACTACTTCTTCATGCATTCCTGATAAATAGTTTTCCAGACTCTGCCTGAAGGTAGCCTGTTCCACCTTTAGAGGACTTTACTATTAAGAAATGTCTTGGGTAGAGGTACGGGCCAAGCTCTGTCTCCCTGTAACTTTTACCATTGGTCAAGTTCTTCCCTCTGACAAGTCTGCCCTCTCTTCCCTACAGGTGACCACCAGGCCTTTGGAGACAACAAGCAAGGCTTTATTAAGTCTTCTCCTGGATAAGGAGCTCTAGTTCTTCTGATGACACTGTTTTCAGCCATCTTACTCTCCTGGCCTATAAATTCTCCAAATTGTTAAACACAACATGGGAATTGGAGGAGAAAAGACTGAGGTTTGAGTGGTGTGTCTACCAATGAGCTGTATTTTATCAACACAGCTGAACTGAAGTTTTTATTTAGGGTAAGTAAAATGTTGAACATAAAAAACCTATAAATGATGAAGTGCTGCATAAAAAATTATTACTCCTACTACTACTGAGACTATATATTGCTACTAAAAATAACAATTACTACTATTAAATCAAGAACATAATCCAGTTGTTTTCTAAGAGTACAGAATAGGAAAGGGAGATCTCTCTTGTTCTGGAAATTGATTTCTAGGCATTCAGCCTAACACCACTGCAGCTGTTTTGGTAGCCTGTGTCTCAGAGTTATTCATCCTGAGCTTACAGGCAACTAAATACTGCAGCTTTATCACACATGCTGCTGTCAGCCTAGGTTTTATCCAGTTCTTGTTATTGTAAAAGTTAAGAAATTTACATTTGTCTCTGACATTCCATCTTGTTTGTTTTACCCTGTTCAGTTACTTTTGGACTATGATTCAGCCATTAAAACCAGTGCTTTCCAATCCTGGCTTCATGTCAGAATCATTTTATAAATTTTTTGAACTATTCCTATTGAGCCCCAGTCTCAAAATTTTGATTCGTCTATTTTAGGGTGGGACTTGGGAAGCTGTACCTAAAACAAGCATCTTAGGTGAGTCTTACCAGTCAGCACACCAAGCTCTGTCAGACTCCATTTGGAAACCCAGGCTATCCCACAGCCTCCTCTGCTCTGTTTTACCTGAACACTTGACGAACATGATTTTTTTTTTAGGGAACTGCCTGGAAGATAAGAAGATATCTACACAAAAGGGCAGGCAAAGGCTCTCACGCCTTTTGCATTCTGTTAATGTTGTTCTTTCACGAGTTCCTTCCTTCTTTATTCTCTAAAACAATGTGAATATGGCAATGTATAGGTGGGCTTGCCATGTGGCTTAGAGACACAGTGCTTCCGAATGCCCTGTTTCTTTTCCTTCCAGCAGGGTCCTGCCTGCTCCTAGCAGAGGTGTGGAATCTGGCTGAAAAAGAACATTCAGACTCAGAGCCCAAGATGTCAACTAAGTAGGCAAGTAAGTGGAGACCTTAATTAGCCAACGACTCATCCTTTCCTTTCACAAGGAAGCCCCAGAGAGATGAATTTACTTGCAAGTTCACTCAGTTTTTTCTAAGATGATCTGGGAAGATTCTTTCTGGACTAGAAGGAGCCCCATGTCTTCCTTATTCTGTTTCAGAATTTGTTCATTCAGCACACATACTGTGAATGTTCTATGTGCTAGGCAAGCATTATGTGGGGGTGGAGGGAGAAAGAAATGACACATAGTTCTTTCTATCATCCCCAAAGTCCAGTAAGGCAAGTCCTGGCCAGGCGCAGTAGCTCACGCCTATAATCCTAGCACTTGGGGGAGCCGCAGCGGGAGGACTGCTTGAGGCCAGGGGTTCAAGACCAGCCTGAGCAAGAGTGAGACCCCATCTCTACAAAAACGGAAAAATTAGCCAGGCATGGTGGTATGTGCCTGTAGTCTCATCTGCTCCAGAGGCTGAGGCAGGAGGATTGCTTGAGCACCTGAGTTGGAGGTTGCAGTGAGCTACAATGTACTCTAGCACAGGTGACAGATCAAGACCCTATCTCAAGAAAAAAAAGATAAGATCTACACACAAATAATGACCCCAAATGGGCAAGGATGGATGCATGAAAGTTCAAGGAAAGGAAGAATTACATGTTCCTCATTCTAAGGAAAAGTGTTCTTTTAATCTCTCAGGTAAAAAAGAATCCTAATTTACCATAATAACAAAACAAAAGGAAAACATGTTTCATTAAATCCATGCCTGTGTCCATGTGTTCCTTCAAATGTCATCTCCTACAGCACAGGGATCCTGATGTCTTTTATTATCTCAATAACACTTAGCATAATACCATGCACACTGAGAAACTCGTCTCTACCCTCAGCCTAAATCTTTGTATTCTTATGTTCTGGGCATATAAGAGTACAATTGTGTTACAAAAGACCTTTCAAAATGTCTTAGCTCTGTGACTACTAGATTTCTTCATATGTATCTGTGTTAAAAGGCTTTCCTTCACATTACTAAGGTTGTATTCCTATATACCGCTTGGACAAGAACCTCCTTGTTACATGAACCCGGAGATCACTCCTCTGGCCAGTTCAGCCCCTCAGAGCCCTGCTGTAAGCCCCTGATTCATTGTTCTCGGAACTAGGCATTTCTGAAAACAAGATGCCATTTTATTTCTGGGGTCAGAGCTCAAATCTTTATTGCCTCTGGTGAGATGATATTCTGTTCTCTTTCCTCCATTTAAGTATATAACATGCCCTAAAGTATGTGCTAATTAATACATCTGTTTGTCTTATGGAGCAGTTGAAAAGCATCTATTTAAACTGTGATTCACATTTTCCCTTTCAGCCTGTCTGCAGATTTTTGTGCATGAGGAGCCTGATTGCACTACTATTTTAAAGGGCCAATTAAAAATTTCATTAAGTGATGCTGGTGTGTTTTAGTGCAGGTAATAAGTATAAAGCTATACATGGCATTAACAAGCTGGAAGATACAACTGGATTTGATGGCAGAATTTATTTCTTCACCTTTCCAAAATAGTCTTCTGGAGAATTAACTACATGTCTTCACTGGAGGCAGGCAGCGGGCGCTCAGTCTGCTCAAAGCACTATTAGGGTGCAAAGTGATAAGCTAGATATATGTACTCAGAGGGTTCACTGACAAAGACTTCATGATCATCCCTTTAGAGGAAGACGGGCTGACTAGTAAGTTTGACAAGTCTAAACCAAATGACCTGAAATTGTCCAATCCCATACTTGCTTTAATCTTTGGAAAATGAAATGCAGATGGAGGAAACATTTGTGGTTCAAGCTGATCAGAGCACTTACACCTGGGCCAGACTGTTCCTGATATGTGACCTTGACTGTAGATCCTGTCTTTTGTCCAAGATCATTCTTTCAGTCTGCTATGTGAGCTCTAATATTACTTAGATACACAGAGGCTTTTCGACTTGCAATGGGGCTACATCCCCAAAACACAAGTCAAAACGCCTCACCTGCCGAATATCATAGCTTAGCCTAGCCTATCTTAAACATGCTCAGACACTTACATCAGAGCTACAGCTGGGCAAAATCATCTGGCAACACTGCACCCTGGAGAGTGTGAGTTGTTTACCCTCATGATCATGTGGCTGACTTCCATTGCCCAGTATCATGAGTGTATCCTACTGCTTTCTGTTGAATGTGTATCACTTTTACACCACCCTAAAGTCAAAAAATAATAAATCAAACCATCCTAAGTGAGGGACTGTTTGTAGTCCCCTCTCACACAAGATAACCAGAGTCTGTTTCTGTTGCTTGCTCCTAGTCAACAATCCTGATTGGTCTCAAAAAGGTGATTCCTCCCTTAGTATGCTTGGTATTAATACAAACAAATGATTGAAAGACATTCTTTACTCAGTTATGGAGAGATGGCTATCATGATATGACTTTCTAACTAATTGCTGTGCAAGAATGGGGCAGGTTGCTGCATAAAAGCAATAAATTCCCAGTTGCTGGAAAAGTTGAAACAAAGAAGAAACAACCATTTGTCAGGAACATGCCGGAGGGGATTCCTGGACTTGGCAGAATGGAGTAGAATCTAGTCAACAGATTTAATGAAAATGTTTTCCAAGTGCTAGAGATCAATGCTCTCTGTCCAGCTATGCCTCTCAGATGGCTGTGACTCACTGAAGACTCGTGGGCCGGAGGACTAGAGACTTGGGCTGAGCACCAGGGGAAGGGCTGAGACTAGCCTCTGCCTCTGGTATTGAGACTGAGTTCCTATATCTATTACTAGATCAATTACATGATTGTTTGTGAGATGCAGCAAGCCCATTCCCAGAGATGAGTGGGTAATCTTTCCATAGCCATTTTGGCCTAATTTGAGGTTCTTTCTTTCCAAATTGGTTCATTGCACATTGTCAAGCAATACCTTTTCACATAAAGAGCAAAATTTTTCTGTTCCTGGGGTTGGAATCTTTAATTCAGTTAACCCACAAGGTAGCTAGTATTACACATAGATACACAGTTCCCAAGGTAGACTACACTAGTCCAAGATGATGTAAGACTTAGAAAGAGGGTCCAAGAGGCACGTTCTCACATCCAGGTCCAAAGGCTGGATGAAGTTATACGATCGGGTGTGGACCCCTTTATTAGATTCTTTAACCATCTGTCAGGCTAAGTGCTTCCTTTTAAAGCTGAAAAACGAGAGGCCTGGAAAGACTGTGTCTTGCCTGACATCACATCCTGAGTTGGGGTCATCAGCTAGAATGACATCTCGTGGCACCTAACTCTGTGCTCTTCCCAGCTGTCTCCCGTCACAGTCCCTGTCACCTCTAGCCCCACCTGGCAGGCTGCTATCTTTTCAGCAAAGGCTGAGTAGGGCTCTGCTCGCACCCCTCAGGGAGGTGTCTGTGAGGCTCCTGTGTGGGGGCAGCTCTCACAGCAGTTCCTGCTTATGCCAAAAACACCCTGGGAATAAATAAAGTTCCCCGTTCTAACACCTTCTACTCATACCAAGTATGCACTTGAAAAAAAAAGAGAGAAAAGAAAGAGTTTAAAAATAAAACTCACAGAGGTAGGGATTCTCTGCTATTGAAAGAAATTCCTTAACACACATTACTCAGGTAATAATTTCTTTTTTTTACTGATTCCCTGGTATTTTTTTAGAGCTACAAAGAGGGCCTAAGAAAGCAAGTGGTCCAAATTCCTTTATTTATAAGTGGGCAAACTGGAGATCAGAGCAGAGAAGTGAGGTTGGTCAACCAGGTGAGGTTTCTGTTGAACTAGAACACTGTTTTTCTTTCACACGGGCTTTCTGAAGTGGTGAGGGTTTGCATGGGTGACACAGATTAAAGAATACTAATTCATCATTCTTTTGAATGCAGTAAAGAAATTGAGCTACTTTCACCAAAGCCTTCCTTTGGGGATGCTGGGGTGAAAAGGGTTGGCTTTAGGGTCAGCTAACCCCTTTTAGCAACATGACTTTGGGTAAGGTAACCTTCTTAGAGCTTTGGTTACCTGTCTGCAAAAGAGAGAAAATAAAACTAGCTGTCTTTTCAGTTGTTTGAGGACTAAAGAAATAATGTGCAAAGTGCCTAGCCTACTGCCTGGCACAGCCTCAAGGGCCAGTAGAAGTTCATTTCTTTCTCTGCTCCTTTCTCACCTCTCTTCTCCCTACCTTGTGAGAACACTGGGATAGGAAAAACCAAGAGAAGTTTGTCTTATTAAAGCCTGTCTTCCTGATAGGAAAGGCACATGGCCAAGGATATTCAAGACCTCTGAAGACTCTACCATAAATGCTTTTGGTGAAATATTTGCACATATAAAGGACTGATGAGTTTCAAGTGCCAGCCTAATGGGGCAGATCAAATGTTCTTTATGTTCTATAAGAGTCCTGAATAAAGGGTTCTTTAATGTTAGGAGAAACAGTTGCAATAGGCCTCCTTTTATTTATTTATTTTTTCAGAGAGTCAATAAAAACAGTAACACTTGAGATCAAGGATCTGAGCTTTTGTAAACTTCCTTACAGGAACCTTACATGTCAGATTATCCACTCTCTTAACTAGCCCAAGAGACCCATCTGCAGCGTTATGGACACCTTGTGGGACAGGAACTGCCAACTGTATGACAACAATTAGGTTTTTTTAAAAAAGGCTTTTTTTTTTTTTTAACTTGAGTTACAATCTGCTCTTGTTAATTCCAATTTCTGGTCCTACTTCTATACCTCTGTAGTCACAAGGATGCATTTGTTCCTTTTTTATGGGTTACTGATGGAAGAGAGCCATTGCTTTTCTAATATTAGGGCATAAGCATTTATACAAGAATATCAAAACATAGGCCATTTCACTCTCTAAAAATGAGCCATGAATCTTGGTTTATGGTGATTATGACAAGTGGGCAATTATACATATGTATATTTTTAATAGTACATAATTTACCTGTGGTTGAGCTTTGACTCAACAGAGTTACAAATTCCAAACATCATTGGCAAGGGTGAAAGATCTGGGTTTAGAGTCAGAAGGCCTGTGTTAGCGCTTTGCCCAGGCTGAGTGACCTCAAACAAGTGAGTATCTGAGCCCAGGTTTTTCATATGTAGAAAATGGAGATTTAGGCCGGGCGTGGTGGCTCACGCCTGTAATCCTAGCTCTCTGGGAGGCCGAGGCGGGCAGATTGCTCAAGGTCAGGAGTTCAAAACCATCCTGAGCAAGAGCGAGACCCCGTCTCTACTATAAATAGAAATAAATTAATTGGCCAACTGATGTGTATATAAAAAAATTAGCCGGGCATGGTGGTGCATGCCTGTAGTCCCAGCTACTCGGGAGGCTGAGGCAGAAGGATCGCTCGAG